TGATTTCGATGGTGGGGGGTCCAGGTTAATGGGGGTTCTCTGGTCTTAGATTAAATAGTAATTCTCTGATGGAAAATGAACGAATCAAAATTTTCTGGTTAAATCTACTAGAATTCTAGTTGAGATATAATCAGAATTCTGATTGATATAATTATTCTGGTAAAAATGAGAATTCTAGTATATAGATTTTATATTGTATCAACCAGAATTCCTGTTATCTCAACTAGAATTCTAATAAATTTAACCAGAAAATTCTGATTCATCCATTTTCAACCAGAAATTTTTTTTAGTGTAAAAATGGGCATAAAAGTATAATGAACGTTTTATTGTTTGATCGAGTTGCATTTTTAAATCCGCGCTGGTGCACTCGATGAAGACGTAATAAATAAAATCATATAACAATAACGAGAGAACGTTTAATTTTTAGCAGTCACATATTTTTTCATCGAGATGTAAGGACTCGAAAGCAATTTTACTGAAATTCGGTACTTCATTGCATATATTTAATGTCAATGTTATTTCCCTGACGATAGCGATTAGCGAACACAAATTTACGTTAAAGTCACGTAAATTGATACAAGAAATTATCTTATGATTGTTGCATATTGCGAAGTTGCAGATATAACGGTATACACACACAGTTCAAACATTGATATGTTTGAATAATAATTGATTATTGAGTATCTTGACATTCGCACGCGGCATGAGAGATTACGTCGGAGCAGTTCTTTGTTGAATTCACGGGAAACACGAGTGAAGCTGATAATTTGTATATTAAATTAACTGAGGGAATGTTTTTCTTAGATACGCTTCAGGAAGTTAAATTACATTAAATAAAATAAAATGGATATCAATATTTTTGCTTGAAAGTGGATTAATCATAAAAAAGCAGCATTAATTATAAAAAAATATGTAAGGTTTAGATACAGTCTATGCAAATATCATTTTTTATCACGTTTATTCAAAGGTACATCGATTTATGATTTATGTCTGACAACACAGAATCTTTATATTTCTATTTGAAGCTAATTTGTAATTCTAATATTAAACAGAATTGAATATTAAATAGAAATGAATGGTAGAATATTCTGTTATACACTTTTCTTAAAAAAGTAGTTGAAGAGAGAGAGAGAGAGAGATATCATTACATAAATTATTAATTAGATTATTACTATCAAGCAATATTAAGAGCAACTTGATTATGTACGCGCGTTGTCCAACTGTTTGAGTTCTATTCTAATCTCACCATGCTATATGATATTTTAAAAAAACTTCCTGGGTGTAAGTCAGTGGTCCCTTGGTCCATCGGCTATGGGTAACCTTCACAGTATGCATGGGCCTCGTTTATCGCGAGGCCGTAACTTATGCGTCACCCGTTATCTGGGCGCGCTTATTATGCATGTTATCGTCTCTCCCTTCGACGAGGGGAAAGCCATAAATTTAATAGTCCCCGGTGTACGGAGGAATCTTCCTTCTTCGGCATGAAAATCTGAATCGACCCTCCGAGACTCGATTCCTGACTCTCGTTCTTGTCTCTCGAATGTCATTTAAGCCTATTTGTGTGTGATATAAATTTCTATCAATATTAATTCATATAACACTCATATAATATGATTATATTTCAGAAAAATTCAACTATATGCATTTGATCAGTCAGGAGTTTTTATACGACTCTTTTAATTTCATTTATGGCATTTCATTTTCATTATCTGACAATATTTTCGATTATCGCGAAATATCCTTATTGCCTAGATATATTAATTATTTAATTATCTTGAACAATTTGCTCGCTATCAAAAATCGTTATCGCGTTGAAAATAATTTTTCGCGATAAACGAAGATGTTTCAAACTATACAGTTTGTATGCATGTACGTGCATGTATGTGACGGCTTGTGTGTCGGTAAAACTATAGTTATCATGCTCCATTATTTGTAACAGGGGAGCAGTTCAGCCTGTGTCGGACAGTGGAAAATTTCGCGCCGATCGTGACTCGTATCGCGGAGAGGAAAACAGATAAATTGTTGCGAGCAGTTGCGATGCTGTGTTTTCGCGGAACACGAGGAAGCAAAATAAGAAATCGACCGGGAAATCAAATCGTCCGTCGCGATAACGACGATGCCGGGCGACGAGCCCGACGTCATCGGTCGGACCGTCTTCTTATCATCGACAGAATTCTCAGTTGCTGTGAATGATACGGCAATCGGCAATTTTTCATTGCCTGGACGCACTTCCGGCAATCGCGATTTCCCAACCCTTTGATGTTGTTTTATCTGACACATTTCGTTCTACTTTGATCGAGTAAATTTCAAGATATTTGAATAATTTTATGACGCATATATTATCGTTACATCCTAATTTAGTTTTACAAAGTACTCTAGATTTAATCCTTTTTCCAATCATGAATTTTTTCTTATAATGAATATAGAACTGATACGAATATAGAACTAATTTTACGAGATTACAGATATTGTCTGGGAGATTAGTGATATCAATTTTTAAAAAACTTTTGTATTTGAAAGTAATCTAATTTCAGATCTATTTTGCATTAAGACAAAATCTAATAAAAATTGAATGAAAAACATTCTTACTACTTATTTATTATACCAAGTATTTTTCACCTTTCCCACCCCTATTCTGTAAACAGAATTTTTAATCAATTGAAAGCAATTTTTCCTTGTCGAAACTAACAATGCAAAATTTCCTTGTTATATGGACAATAGAAATCAAAAATTAAAAAATTTTGTAAACTAAACGTCGTTCTTCGTATAACTTTTTACGCTTCACTTTATTGAAAATACTTTGATATTTGAAATACTATAGAGTTATTCAAAGGCGAACGTTAATAAATTAAAAATTAAAAATACATTGAACGAAAAGCTT